TGAAAAACTTTCTCCACTCTTGCCTCCAGCTCTCGATCACTGCTGGTCAGAAGCAATATTAACTTTTAAAGAACTGGGAAACCATTTTAAGTTATTAGAAATTCGATCTGTATCCAATATAATTGAAGACCTATGTGCCGGAAGTCCAATTGTTGGGATACCCTAGCAATTGTCACAGGTACCACTGAAGAGTAGATTGTTCAATGGATATTATTTTTTATTTTCAAAGTTATGTTCAATTAATTTTATTGCATTCATCATCATCATCATCATTGTCATCATCATCATCATCATCGTCGTCATCATCATCAACATCATCAAATCACTTCTTAAGGGTGTTGTATATGGTCATTTTATTTTATCACTTATTGTAACACTATTAAATTGTATTTGTTTGTAATGTAAATCTGAGTAGGATATAAATTCTGAATCCAGTTTAGTTTTACATCCGTTTGTGTGTAGCTATGATTTTCATTAGGATTGTCAGCAGACTTTGGTTGTGTTTTGTATTGGTTAATGTAAATTTTTGAGAAATTGTTGTCATATCACATCAAATAACCATTTCCTGAATTCCATTAAAAAAATACAAGCATTGGATTAGGTGTTGGCATTTAAAGTAGAAACACTAAATTTGTCGTTTCTTGAAGAAGCAACAATGGTATCCAATGTTACATTGATAACTCCAAGCATTTGTGATAGAAAAAAAATATATATTCTCATAAAACTTGTATTGATCAACTTAAAACGTTACAAGTAAAAGTGACAAAATGGTACGGAACACAACCTTCAAGATACTGATAGTCAATCTAACTATCTTGCATTTGGATGTTAAAACTTGCATCGGTTTTATAATCTAACTCTATGTGGATTTCTTCACGCCATCTAATCCAATAAAAATTTGAGCTCGATGCAAGGTTCAAAGTATCGGAAACGCTATGCGTATTGGAAAGGAAAATTTAAGAGACGTAATGGGATTCGCTTTCGATACGCATGGATATGGATGAAAAATTAAGATACACATGGAAATGTTATAAATACTCTAATAAATTATAAATAAACATCAATATCACTAAATATAAGGCATAAATGGGTTATTTATGTATAAAAATAACATGTTTTAGTGGGTTTTATGAAAAAAATATATTATAATCAATATACGGGAACAAAAACATACTTTTAATAAGTACTCAATTCAGTTCTAATGTGTTTGCTTGTTTTATCCTAAAAATTAAATTAAAATTAAGAAAGGTAAATATGTAATAGCAAAATTGAATGGATTTATGGACATAATAGATCAAGTAATTAATTTGCATGTTTTATTCTAATTTTTTAAACTACTAAATAATTATTCATTTTTATTCAAATAATTATTTTGGATGTTTCATTAATTTATTCCAAAAATTAAATTAAAATTAAGAAAATTAAATATGTAACAGAAAAAATGAATGGATTTATGGACATAATAGATCAAGTAGTTATTTTGCATATTTCATTCTAATCTTCTAAAAATTGAACAATTATTTATTTTTATTAAAATAATTATTTTGGATGTTTTTTTCTAAAAATTAAATTAAAATTAAGAAAAGTAAATATATATTAGAAAAATTGAATGGATTTATGGACATTATTTTGCATGTTCCATTCTAATTTTCTAAAAACTGAATAGTTATTTATTTTTATATATTCAAATAATTATTTTGCTTGTTTTATTCTAAAAATTAAATTAAAATTAGGAAAAGTAAATATGTAACAGAAAAATTGAATGGGTTTATAGACATAATAGATCAAGTAATTATTTTTCATGTTTTGTTCTAAAATTTAAATTAAAATAAGAAAAGTAAATATATAACAGAAAATTGAATGAATTTGATCAATGGACATGGTAGATCATCCATAGATCTACAACATACTCAATTTATAGGTTTTTTTTTCTGCTCTATAGGGATAGATCATATAAAATTAAAGAAATTATATATTTATATATATTATTCCGAAAATAAAAAATCAATTATTTAGAAAATAATTCAT